AAAAAGTATTGATATCACATTATTGAGGCCAAGTACATAAGTCACTACATGTTTGCCTATTATATGATCTAGCACTGACCCATCATTTTAATTGTATTTTCAAAATTTCCTATAACGTTTTCACTACTCTTTCACATTACTACTGTTTGTCGTAGTTGATTATGATTTAATGGTTATTAAATAATTAATAAAACTTTAGCTGATTCCTTATCGAGTACTACTTGGCGGGTCTGTGCATTTCTTGATATAAATTTGCGTTCATTATGCCAGTTATTAAACTCAAAACCAATGTCAACTTTCTATATAGAGCTTATTAACGATAACTCGTTAATAATAATCACGGTAAAAGCTTAATAACAAACATATAGTTTTAGGATACAATTAGTATGTTCAAAGTAAGTACTTTGGAATTCCTGACACAGGTCCGCCAAGCAGTACTTTTTATTAGAGGAATACACAGCACTCCTGTACTTGGCTTAGTATTTTACACGTAAGAGATTTTTGGGGGATATCACAAGTTTTTGTTGCTCAACGGGACAGAATCTCTAAGCACTGAAATCTATATTGCCACAGATTTAAAATGTAAATGCATTATGATGTCGCTAATCAGAGCGTTGTCGAATATTATATTGCGTTGTCGAAAATGTTTAATGACTTATAAATTTAATTTGTAAGTCCCTTTTTCTAGAAATGCATAAAGATATATACAAATTTTTAAAGAAAATGTAATCTTCAATGCATGTAAGCGTCGTTAATGGTGTCCAGCTTGTTGAAGCCGTCTGGTAAACGTAAGACAGGAGAGTGTGCTGGATTATTTACGTACCTCAGGTCGTGCGAACATCAGAGAGGATACTATAGTTTGAGCGAAGCGCTAAAGCTTGTTGCACACTTTTTTGGACTTCTACGTCCGACACCAAGATAGAAGAAACTACTGAGCGGAACACCTGGACACCCTGAATTTCCACATCCGACACCCAAGACGACGACGACGACGACGACGACGGAGGACCTGAAATAAAATCATCTCGCTCGCCATGTGAATACGTTCTGATCTGGTACACTAATCGTATTGAATTGGGTGGCAATCAATTTAGAACCCTTGATTCCTAGAGTGATTGTATCAATAAATTTTTCTCGCATACAGCCGTTCATAAGATATTTCAGTCGAAACACAGATACAAGAGATGCTTCGAGTAAAGAGTCTCGGCGGGCCGTGCCCCGTACGGCGGGTTGCCAGTACTTGGCGCGAGACTCGACCGAGTCTCTTGATGTCCATTCGTGGAAGCTTTTTCACGTGCAGCGCAGCACTGTAGGTGTGTTCGTGAATGAGCCGAGAGCGGAGAGCGCATCGATGTTTCTCTGTTCATTGGATGCATCTGATCGCGACACTGATATCTGAAAGAAACTATTGACTATCAAACGTTTTTACAAGACTATCAAACACTATCAAACGACTAACAAACGATTGGAAGTAGAAAAAGTTTGTTATATTTTCTAAGTGAATGGACACACCGATCGAGGAATCGATTGTATCGTATCGATTGGGATCCTTGATTCGCATATGGTTTTTCCCATTTTTCTTACAAATGATGAACTATCAAACGTTTTTATTAATTAATTCGCAACTATCAAACGATTTTGCATCGATTGAGCTCCGGAAAAACAAAATCTTTACAAAATTTTGATTTTCTGAAAAGACTAATGACTATCAAACGATTTAAATAAAAAAAAGTTTAAAAAATAAAAGTTGGCCGGCCAACTTCACGCAGGTTAAGTATCATACGTGCATGGTAACGAGTCAACGTGCGAGAGTTCGAGGTTCGAGAGTTCGGGTTCGAGACCCGATTATTATTACTTTTTTTTATTCATGAACAATGCTTATTGAATCTATTAATTAACTTAGAATGTAGCAAATGCATGATTATATTATACTATATACATTTTATTATATTATACAGTCGCGTCTATTTTTATGCCGTTGATACGGTCCATAGAAAACAGCATATAAAAAATATAAGTAAAGTAGAAGGAGGCACCCGGAATTTTCATGAACTTTTAATACCGCATTAAAAAGCCACCTGCAAATGAATTTTACCCATTGAAATGCTATAATTATGTGGATATATATTCCGCATGTAAAGATCGCGAGGCACAGAATACATGGGTATGTCCAGTCGTTTGATTGTATAGTGTGGACTACGCGATTCCTACCTTAGATCCTTTGAAAAAGTGTCTGCTCAAATAAACAAAGAGGAAATGAGGTGGCGGATTCACTGCACATTCTATCTATTGTTGGCTTCTGCCTCGAAAGCATCGACGGAGAAATTGCAGAAGTTTCGAAAAAATGTTTCTTCTTCACTGGATGTCTCAAGCTATGAAGAGACCTCACCAAGAATTCCAAAATCCAATATATCTGACGTAGATATCTGAAGCATTGACTGGATACTTTCTAAAGTTTTTAAATTACATGTTTTTGTGTCTCAAGCTACGGAGAGACCTCACCAAGAATTTCAAAATCCAACATATCTGACGTAGACATCTGAAGCATTGACTGGATACTTTCTGAAGTTCTCAAATTACATATTTTCGACACCTGATACATTGCGCTAATGAATGACCAACAAACGTTGCAAATGGACTACCAATTATTAGTGCACCTTCCTGCATCGATTAAGACTAGTTAAAGCAAAATTGGTTAATAATTTGTAACGTAATTTTTTCTTTAACTTGACCCGACACCGATAACGAGACATACGGGAACGACTATCTTCAAGAACCAACCTACGTTACCTTCGGCCGTCCACCCGTCGTTCGTGCATCCGCAAGCCAGGCGGGCGCCAGTCAATTCTTTTTTCACCGGGAACTGACGAGCCGGTATAAACTGG